TCGAGGGCACGGCTCACACGGGGGGAGCGGGACAGTTTAACGGGGCGGGGAGGGCGGGGGTCCCGGACAGGGAGCGGGTGGGGTGGGGGCAGGGGATGGACACGGAACCGGCGGGGGTCCCGGGCAGGGGGCGGGCAGGATGCGGGAGGGGGTCCCGGCCAGGCGGGAGTGGGCGGGGGGCGCGGGAGGCGGGGAGGGGCGGGGAAGGGCCGGGATGGGCAGGAGCGGGACCGGCAGGAGCGGGCAGGGACAGGCAGGGCCGCGGCCATGCCGGGGGTGCCCCTCGCCCCGCTGCTGCTGCTGCTCCTGCTGAACCCCCCACCGCCCCCTGCCCGGGCAGCGCCCCCCGCCCGCACCACCCCCCGCCCCCGCGGGCTACCGACCCCCCCCGCCCAGCCCACGAGGGTGGGCACGGCGGCAGGACCCCCCAAAGACGGCGGAGGGTCCCCCCCGAGGGGCACCACGGCCGCCCCCTCAAGAGGCTCCGGGACCCAATCCCCCAAAGGCGGCGGGGGGTCCCCCCCAAAGGGCACTGCGGCGGGACCCCCCAAAGGCGGAGGGGTGTTCCCCCAGAGGGGCACCACGGCCGCCCCCCCGAGGGCCATCACGTCGGGACCCCCCAAAAGCAGCGGAGTGTCCCCTGCAAGAGGCACCACGACGGGCCCCCCCAAGGGCAGCGGGGGGTCCCCCCCGACGGGCACCCCGGTAACCCCCTCGCGGGGCAGCGGGACGGCCCCCAGCCCCGGCCCCTCCCGGCGCGGGGGGCTGCGGGAGGGGGACCCCGCGGCCACAGGTAGGAGTTGGGGGGCTGAGGCTGAGCTGGGGCGGGGGGTGAGCACACGGGGGTGTGTGGGGGTGTGCACAGCGTGTGTGTGCAAGGCCGCGTGCACAGGGATGTGTGAGTGTGTCTGTATGTGTGTGTGTGTGCACAGGGACGCGTGTGTGTGTGTGTGTGCGCGTGTGTACATGGCGGTGTGTGCACACGTGTGCGTGTACATGTGTGTGCACAGAGCTCTGTGTGTGTACATGGCTGTGTGCGTGTGTGTGTGTGTGTGCACAGGGCTGTGGAGGGAGGGGTTTTAGGGCTGTGTGTGCACTCGGCCGTGGGAGGGCGAGCACACGCGTGGACACGGACACGCGTGGGGAGGGGGTGTCTGTGCACCGAGCACTCCCAGGGGGGGCGAGGGTGGGGAAGAACGGGGGGTGCCTGGAGGGGGTGATGGGGTGCTGAGGGGGCGTCATTTGAGGAGGGGGGGACAATGCCGTGCCAGGCTCTGGGGGTGCCCCTGCCCTATATGGGGTGGTCGGGGGAGGCTGCACGTGTTGTGCCCAAGCCCCCCCCCCCCCCCCCCCCCCCGGGGGGCCCCGGGCCCCCCCCCCCCCCCCCCCCCCCCCCTGCCCTGGGGTCCCTGTGCACCACCCCCTCCCTCCAGCCCCGGCCCCAAAGGTGGCGATGAGGAAGAAGAAGGTGGTGAGGAAGGTGGTGGTGAGGAAGAAGGTGGTGAGGAAGAAGAGGCCGAAGGCTCCGGCCGCCCCACAGGAGCCCCGTACGTGCCCTGGGGGAAGGGGGGGGGAGGCACGGCAGGGACTCCACCCTTAGAGTGTGGGGGTCCCGGCCACGCAGGAAGGGGGTCACTGTGTGACTCCCCCCTCCCCACAGCGTGCCCCCCACTAGGGCTGGAATCGCTGCGGGTGGAGGACACGCAGCTCCACGCGTCCAGCCACAAGCGGCCCGGGCTGGGCGCCCACCGGGGCCGGCTCAACATCCAGGTACACCCCACCCCACCCCACCGCACCCCACGCACGCCCCCCGCCCCCTCCGGGGGCGGGGGGCGTGCGTGGGGTGCGGTGGGGTGGGGTGCTCGCGTGGTGCGGGTCACCTGGCGAGGGTCATCCCCACGTTTTCCCCCCCCTGATCGCAGTCGGGGCTGTACGACGGGGACCCGTTCGACGGCGGGTGGTGCGCGGGGCGGGAGGACGCGGCGCAGTGGCTGCGGGTGGACGCGCGGCGCCTCACCCGCTTCACCGGAGTGGTCACGCAGGGCCTCAACTCCATCTGGACGTAAGGGGGACGGGGGGTTTGGAAGGGTAAGGTGGGGCGGAGGGGGGGTGGGACATCCTCTCCCTCTTCCCCGCCCCTCGACCGTGTCCATCCCCCCCCCCGCGCAGGTACGACTGGGTGACGTCCTACAAGGTGCAGGTCAGCAACGACTCCCACGCGTGGGTGCCGAGCAGGAACGGCTCTGAGGAGGCGGTGGGTGCTCGTGGGGGGGAAGGAAAGGAAAAGGGTTAACCATACTGGGTTAACTATGGTGGATTAACCACGCTGGAGAGGGAGTTAACCATGCTGGAGAGGGGGTTAACCTTGCTGGGTTAACCATGGCAGGAGGGTTAACCATGCTGGGTTAACCATGCTATAGAGGGGGTTAACCATGCTGGGTTAACTATGGTGGATTAACCATGCTGGAGAGGGGGTTAACCTCGCTGGGTTAACCATACTGGGTTAACTATGCTGGGTTAACCATGTTGGGTTAACCATGCTGGAGAGGGGGTTAACCTCACCGGATTAACCATGCTGGGTTAACCATTCTGGAGAGGGAGTTAACCATGCTGGGTTAACCACGCTGGGTTAACCGCACCAGGTGAGTTAACAGCGCCAGGTGGGGAAACCATCCTGGGGTGAACCTCCCTGGCTGGGTGAGCCACCCCGGGGTAGCCGTGCCAGCTGGCACCAGGCCCTGGGCTCTGTTGCCCTTGGCCTTCCCACCTCGGGCACCCTCCAGCACTTCCCCCCGGAACAAAGGCTGCTTGTCCCTGGGGCCGCCCTGGCTGGGGCCCAGGAACCCCCTGGGCACGTGCCAACCCCTCTGGGCACACCCGTGTGCGTGCGTGGCACCGGGTGGCACGGCCGTGCCCAGGGCTGAGGGCAGCAGCCTGGAGCTGGAGTGGCTTTGGGGTCCCTGTGCCAGGGAGGGTTTGGGGGTCCCTGTGCCAGAGCCATGTCAGAGTCGGGTTTGGGGGGCCGTGTGCCCACCCCTGGGGTCCGTCCCCCCGTGGGGTGGCAGGTTCTGGGGGCCAGAGAGGCACAAGCACCCCAGCCCCTGCGGCCCCGTTGGGCTCACCCTCCTCAGCGGTGTGTGCCCCTCCTCGGGGGCTGGCGGGGCTCCTGTCACCCCTTGGCCCCGAGGGGCAGCTCTGTGCCACCCCCGGGCCCCCTGGCACACCCCTGTGCCCCCCAGGTGTTCCCCGGGAACAAGGACCCCGAGACGCCGGTGCTGAACCTGCTGCCCACGCCCCTGGTGGGGCGGTTCCTGCGCATCAACCCGCAGAGCTGGTTCCCCAACGGCACCATCTGCCTGCGGGCGGAGGTGCTGGGCTGCCCCCTGCCCGGTGGGTACCGCGGGGCGCCTGGGGGTGCCCCCTGCCCCGGGGGTGCCCTGTGGGTCCCCTCACCCCGCCCCACCAGTGCCCAGCATGGCACACGCCGCCTGGGCCATCCCCAGGGGCGGGGGCTGGGCTGTCCCCAGGGTCTCTGACCGTGTCCCCTCCGTGTCCCCTCCGTGCCCACCCGGCTCCCCCAGACCCCAGCGATGCCTACGCCTGGCACAGCCAGGCCCCGCCCGCCTCCGACCTGGATTTCCGCCACCACAACTACAAGGAGATGAGAAAGGTGCCAGTCCTGGGGGGGGCGGGGTTTGGGGGTGGATCTCCGTGTCCCTGGTGTGGGGCAGGGGGTCTGTGTTGTGTCCCCCCCCCGCAGTGCCCCTGACGCCGTTTCCCCCCAGCTGATGAAGCGGGTGAGCGAGGAGTGCCCCGACATCACCCGCGTGTACAGCATCGGGCACAGCTCCCGCGGCCGCCGCCTCTACGTCATGGAGATCTCCGACCACCCCGGGCAGCACGAGCTCGGTGGGGACAGGGGGACACCTCCACTGGGGACAGAGCAGGGCCACGGGGACACCCAGGCTGGTGCTTGGATGGGGATGGACTGGGACAAGAACACCCAGGCTGGGGACAGGGTGGCTGGGGACACCCAGGCTGGTGCTGGATGGGGATGGGGTGGCTGGGAATGCCCAGGATGGGGATGGGGTGGCTGGGAACACCCAGGCTGGTGCAGGGAGATGGGCACAGTCCCCAGGGATGTCCAGGATGGGGACAGGGTGGGTGGGGATGCCCAGGATGGGGATGGGGGGTGCTGGGACACCCAGGCTGGCACAGGGCACAGAGGGCAGGGGTGGCCGTGCCCCCTCAGCCACGCCCCCGTGCCTGGCAGGGGAGCCGGAGTTCCGCTACGTGGCCGGGATGCACGGGAACGAGGTGCTGGGCCGGGAGCTGCTGCTCAACCTCATGGAATACCTGTGCCGGGAATTCCGGAGGGGCAACCCCCGCGTGGTGCAGCTGGTCACGGACACCCGGATCCACCTGCTGCCCTCCATGAACCCCGACGGATACGAGACCGCCTACGAGCTGGTAGGGACGGGGGCCGGGACCCCCGGGGGCTGCCCCGGGGCCCATCTCAGCACCCCCGGTGCCCCCCCAGGGCTCGGAGCTGGCGGGCTGGGCCATGGGCCGCTGGACCTACGAGGGCATCGACCTCAACCACAACTTCGCCGACCTGAACACGGCGCTGTGGGACGCCGAGGACAACGACCTGGTGCCCCACGAGTTCCCCAACCACTACATCCCCATCCCCGAGTACTACACCCTGGCCAACGCCACGGTGAGCCCCCTCGAGCCCCCACCGTCCCACGCTGATGCCGTGGTGAGCCCCCCCATAGCCCCCCAAACTTCCCTTCCTCCCACTCCAATGCCAGG